ACAATGACGGCGACAATGACCGACGGCGACGACCGACGAATGACAATGACGGCGACGACGACCGACCGAACGAATGACCCAGCGGCCGAGCAACCGAGCGACCGACGACGACCGACCGACCGAGCGATCGACGACGACGACGACGACCGACCGACCGACTGGCCGACAGAGCGACCGACGACGACGACGACGTAGACCGACGACGACGTCCGACAGACAACGACGACGGCAACGGCCACCGACCAACCAACCGACCGACCGACCGACCAACCGACGGCGAGACGGACGAGGACGACGAACGACGGCGACGACCGACGGACGACAGACCGACCAACAGCGACGAAAGACGACGACGAGACGGACGTCGTCGTAAAATTCTAGAAACCCAAACCTAGAAGGCCGTCCGCGACCGGCCGAGGCCAAATCCTAGAACGCGCGGGCAGGGTGAAATTCTGGAAGCCCCCCCCCCCCCGGAAACGGGAGTTCCGCTGTTAGTAATATAGAAGGGAGGGGCGATTGCAGGCGAATGTGCCACCTCGGGCTGCGAATCCTGCAAAACCTCTGGTTTTGATACCACCCGCTAGGGCCGAATGAGCCCGAGTGAACCCGAATGACCGCGAATGAATCTCCGAATGTACCAGAATGCGCCCCCAACTGAACCCTCTCCAGCGCCGCAGACGGACCCCGACTCAACCCCCCGGACGTCGTCGTTGTTGTCAGCCGTCGCCATGGTTCGTCGTTGTCGTCAATCGTCGTTCGTCGGTCGTCGTCCTGAGTCTGTCCGGCGGTCGTCGTCGTCGTGCTCGTCGTCGTCCGTCGTCTTCGGTCGTTTCGGCTACGGATGCAACGAGGTTGAGAACACGACGTTGGACCCCTAAATCTGTCCGACTTGGCAAACCCATTAAAATCTCACAACCAAGAATAGTCGCCTGACTGTAGGACGGGCAAACGGGGGCAGAATGGGAGGGGCAAAGCTTGGGGAGGAGGAGGACGAGCAGAAAGGGGACAGACGAGGGAGAGGACGGGGGAGAAGAGGCCAGGGTGGGAGAAGGGATAAGGGATTGGGGTGGAAGAGAAGGAAACAGAAGAAGCGGGGGGGGAGGGGGGGGGAAATGAGGGCGATGGAAGGAGAAGGAAGGAGGATGAGGAGGAAGAGAAGGAGGAGGGATGGCGGCGTTCCAGAGGACCCTCATGCCGTCAGCCAGGAGTCATGAGAGGACGAGGGAGGACGATGGGAATGAGGGGTGGAGACATGGGAGAACGAGGACAAGGGAAGACGAGGGCGGACGAGGAGGAAAAAGGGAGGAGGGGGCACGAGGAAGGGGAATGCGATTATAGGAGGGCGGACCCTCAGGCCCCCACCCGCCGCTGGGCCTAGGCAGTACATGTACCCGAGCAGGCCCATCGCCCCAGCATGGCCCTGGTCCTCAGCGGCCAGCGCATCCTCTATTCCTTTCCTTATAGATGATTAACTTCTCCCTGTCGCACCCCGAGGCCGGTTTTTAGGGCGGGCCGGGCGTTTCGCCTGAGACTTCTCAACCAACTAAGACCCTCATACCAGCAGTTTCACACATGGAGGGCGCTTGTTTTCAAAATGTGGCTCTCGCCTTAGCGCCGCGCACATTCGTCTTTGAAAAATTGCAAGGGCTTCACAGATCGAGGGCGGGTGGTTTTCAAAATGTGGCTCTCGCTTAATGCCGCGCACACTCGTGTTGTTCATTTCCCAGGGATTCACGAATTGAGGGCGGTTCTTGATCAACATGTGGCTCTCGCCGTAACGCCGCGCACATTCTGCAAGCGTTTCGCGGGTTCCCATGGTCAACGTGCCAGAAACGGTGTTTTGGATAGATTCAGGATTATGCGGATGCAACAGTTACGTGTACGGTGTTCAAGTTCCAATAATGGCGTTCTGGAGCGATTCAGGATCGTTAAGACGCAACAGTCAGGTTGATCCGTGGCGTCGGAGTTCCGAGGGAATTGTGTTGGCATGCTTCAGCGTCTTCAAAGAGTTGCCTTCCAACGAGGCAGTTACCTCAGTGGAATGAACCGCTGTAGGGGCCTATGAAAGAGGGAGCTTGGAGGGAGGGTTTATTCCAAAATCGTTGATGACTCTTGGGCTTGCACTGATCCTCCTCCTCCTCCTTCGCCTCCCTTCCTGCCTTCCTTCTTCTTCCCCCCTCTTCTTCCTCTCCCCTTCTTCCTCCTCTTCTTGCCCGTTCGTCCCTCTCGCCCTGGCACCCGCCTCCTTCCCCTCCTCCGTCTCCTCCTCCTCCTCCTCCTCCTCCTCCTCCTCCTGCTCCCCTCCTCCTCCTCCTCCCTCCTCCTCCTCTCCTCCTCCGTCTCCTCCTCCTCCTCCTCCAACTCCTCCTCCTTCTTCTTCTCCTCCTCCTCCTCCTCCTCCTCGTCGTCCTCCTCCTCCTCCAACTCCTTCTCCTCCCTCCAGCTCCTCCTCCTCCTCCTCGTCATCCTCCTCCTCCTCCTGCTCCTGCTCCTCCTCCTCCTCTTGCTTCCCCTTGGCCTGCAGATGCGCGAATGCTGCTGCACGCCCCCAGCTGTGGCTCCCTTGTGGGGCCCCTGCGCGGGCTTCCGATCCGATCCGATCCGAGCCGATCCTCCTCCACCTCCTCCTCCTCCTGCTCCTCCTCCTCCTCCTTCCTTCCCCCTCCTCTTCATTCCTTCGTCCTCCTCCCCTCTTCCCTCCCCCTCCTCTCCCTCTCCCCCTCCTCCTGCCCACCCGTCCCTCTCGCCCATCGGCCTCACCCCCCCTCCGCCCCGCCCCCGCCCCCGCGGCAGTCCGCGGCGGTCCGCAGGTGGCGCGCGGCCTCTCCGTAGTCCTGCCCGAAGCCCTCGATGCCCAGCATGTACCGCTTCCCCACGGCGTAGGCCACGCCCGCGTCGCCCTGCTCCGCCATCTGCACGAAGAGGCTCACCTAAGACGAAGCCAGAACGAGGGTAAAGAGGGGGGGGATGACTCGATAACCTCTGAGATCCGGCGGCTCCGGAGGATGTCTCGGGCGCCGCGGCCTTCCAAGAGCGTTCCCGCACGCTCTGAGAGCGTTTCGGAACGCTATGGCACGGATTTATCTAGAGCAGAGACCGACCGTCCCAGCATTTCTTTTAGGCCTACTACGAATTTTTCTTAGAACCCCAACAACATTCTAAAAACAAAAACAATGTTCTTAGAACATCAACCCGATGTGTTAAAACAAGACAGTCCCAACCAGACATGTATTAAGAACATTCCATGCAAACCACAAAAGGTCCTTAGAACATTATTTGGTAGGCCTATAGGCGAGCCAGGACGCTTCGCCACTGCTTGATTACCCTCGTTCTGGCCCCGCTCGATCACCTCGGACGAGCCCACGGCCTTGCTGCTCTGCCCGGCGACCCCGAGCCGGACCAGCTCCACGGCCTGGGGCATGCCGCCACCGTAGAGACCGGCCACCTCCCGCGCGACCTCGACGTAGTTCAGCGCGGCCGCGCTGCAGGACTTGGGGACCCCGTAGCCCTGGCTGTGCCTGTAGCCCATCGCCATCAGTGCACCTCGTGGGCGGCGCGCACTGCAGGGGGGCGACGCGGAGGGGGGGGGAGCCTTCTGACAAGGCAGGGCCTTCTTTTAGACTGACCTTGAGGTGTCTCGGACCGGGCGAAAGGGGGCGATAGCAAAGGGGGGGTTGAGAATCAGCTCACGCAGCTGACTTTCCCGGCGCCTCCCGGCGCCGGAGGCGGCCATGTATCGAGGAATGGGCCCCTCGGTGGGGCCGAACCCAGCGGCATGCAGCAGATGTCGCACCCCCCCCTTTCCCAAGTCCCCCCCTTGCATCCGGCCCGAGTGTCTCAGAAGGCTTCTCAGAAGCCAGAGAGGCTTCTGAAACGCCGCGCCCTGCATTCTCACGGGGCCGGCCCCCCCGCCCCCTAGTCTTGGCGCGCCCCGCCAGACCTTGGTGGCCTCCCACAGACGCGGCGTACGTGTACAGCACCCCCAGCGCCTCCCGTGTCGAACGACAGAGGGGGGTGTCAGCAAGGGGGGTCGCGGCAGCGATTCCGCAGCCGGCCTCCCCAGCAGCAGAGGCGCCAGAGTGCCGAGAGACGGCGCCCGGCGGCGAGGCCGACTGCCGATGCATGCAGCAGATGTCGCGTCCCCCCCTTCCCCCTCGCCCCCCCCTTCGTGGTAAGGCTTCGGGCTGCGCACAGACAGCCCCCCGGGGTAGCCCCAGCTGGCCTCAAGGTGGCCCCCCGAGTAGCCCCAGCTGGCCGCACACGGGCCCCGCGAGTGGCCCGAGGCGGTCTCCAACTTCAGCCCCGGGGCGCGGAGCGCCCAAGTGGCGCCGCCAGAGGGGGCGCCCCGGGTGTTGAAACCGCCCTGGGCCACTCGGGGGGCTCGGGGGGCCAGTTGAGGCCCGCTGGGACCATCCGAAGGGGCCGTCTGCGCGCAACCCAGAAACCCGAAGCCTTATATCCCCACTCTGGCAGAGCCGAAGCTGCAGCAACCAAGAGGCGCAGATGCCGCCACTCCCCCGACCTCTCCCGAGGTGCGTTCTGACCAAAACTGAAAGGCGAGTCCAATGGTGGCGACGAGGGCCCCGGAAGCCCCAAGCAGGCGAAAGCGAGGCAAGGGCATCGGTATCGGCACATTCGCAGACATGCGACTTCCAGATAAATACGCGGTCCCTGGCAGTCCCGACCAGTTCCCGCAGGACCCATTTTGCATCCTGAATCGTTTTTGTTGACAGCCCTGGGGCCCGGTGAGAGCCCCGAGAGGCCGAACACGACGAAACTCCTCCCCTCCTGACTCTGCCACGGCGCGAGCACGTCTGGGTTCTCCTCCTCCGAGCAGCCTCGTCCCGGCTCAGCTCGCGGCCCGGCCCAGCGGCGAGGAGGCTCGAGTGCAGCGCGCCCAGCGTGTACTGCGCGCCAGGGTCCCCGAGGTCCGCGGCCTCGCTGAGGTCCTCCAGCGCCGCCGTGAGGTTTCGGCGGGCGTGGGCCCCGACGAGGTGCATCTCCTGCAAGGGAAGAGGAAGAGACAAAGAAGCAACCAGGAGCCTCTGCTTTGAAGACTCTTGGGAGCGAAGTCAGGGGGGGGCGATAGATTAGACGGTGGAGAAAGGCGCCCTTTTCGGACCCTGAAGGCACCCTTCTGGGTGGGCGCTAAAGGGCTCCTTCCGGGGCCCTAAAAGGCCCCTTTTCGGCAGCCCTCGCTGCCCCCCCAATTATCGCCCCACCATTTATCGCCCCCCAAGCCTCGCGATGCCCATGACCGGTCCCGCCCCCCCCCTCTCCCGCTCCACCGGTCACGTCACGAATGGCGCTGGCCCCATCTGGCGGTCAGGTCGTCCATTATTCCTGAGCGTTCCGAGATAACGCCGGCGCGAATCCTGACGTGACAGGCCCCCTCTCCCCACACTGCCCCCTTGGCCACGCCGTTGATCGCCTGACTGACTGACTGACTGACTGACCGGCTGACTGACTGACTGACAAACCATACACTAGGCGGTGCGTGGGCATGAGCGCTGGCTAGTAAGCCACAAACCGGCCCATCGCACTCGGCACCCAGTGAACACTGCACTTGTGCGCTATAGGGCCATCCATAAGCACCGCAAGCGGAAACGCACGGCAGCAGGTCACACTGGGACGAACAGAAGGGGAGGAGAAGGAGGAGGGGGAGGACGAGGACCAGTGCAAACCCAAGACTCAAGACTCACAAACGACGTTAGAATAAACCCTCCCAAGTTCCCTCTCCTTGGATAGGCCCCTACACGGATTCATTTCCACCGAAGGTGTCCAGTTGGGAGACAACCGTTTGAAGATCTTGAAGCGTGCCAAAACAACATCCTCGGGACTTCAACGCCAAGAACCAACCTGACGGTTGCGTCTTGGACGATCCCGAACCGTGCCAGAAAAAAAAACATTCCTGGGACTTCAACACCGCGAATCAACGTAACTGTTGCGCCCTGACAATCCTGAACCCTTCCAAAGCGCCTTTTTTGTCACTGTTGCACCTGTTTTATACGAATGTGCGCAACGCTGCGGCGAAAACCACATGTTCAAACAAAAAAAAAAAAAACTCAAGCCGTGAAGCTCTTGCACATGTTTGTGACGAATGTGCGCAGCGCGCAGGCGAGAACGACAATGTGAGAAGGAACCGCTCTCGTTCCGCGAAGCTCTTGCCAATGTTTCAGATGAGTGCGCGCAGCGCTAAGGCGAGAACCACATTTTGAAAAGGAGCCGCCCTCAGTCCGGTTAACTCTTGTAGTTTTGTTCACGACGAGTGTGCGCAGCGTTAAGGTGAGAGCTACATTTTGAAAACCGCCCGCCCTCAATCCGTGAAACTCTTCCAAATGTATAACATGAATGCGCGCGGCGTGGAGGCGAGAGCTACATTTTGGAAGCGGTCCACCCTCCATCTGTGGAAGTGTTGACAGCGTTGAAACTTCAGGGCCGCACGTGGTAAGGAAGTCTCAGACGAAAGGCCCGGCCCGCCTTTTCGACTGGACCCGGTGTGTGACAGTAGAGGCCTCCTAGATGGGGTCGGAGTAGATGAGGTCGGAGGATCGAGCCGCATCGCCGACACATCGGCGATGTATTGCCGATGCATCATCGATGTATCGCCAACGTCGATGACGCATCGGCGACGTCGGCGTGGAGAATATCGGGCTCCGCATCGAGCCGCATCGTCGATGTATCGCCCATGTGTCGGCGATGCGGCGCGATCCTCCGACCCCATCTACTCGGACCTCATCTGGGAGGCCTTGAGACAGGGAGGAGCTCATCGTAATGAGAAAGGAATGGAGGAGGCCCGTGATCGCCAGGTGGTGAAAAGCTGCCTCTAGCAGCTGCGTCAACATGAATGCTCGACGTTCCGCACGGATTCTACCCCTCGGCGCGGGACCACCCCTCCCGGGCAGAGGCGGCGCTGGAAGCATCCCCGGGGAGGTCCAGCGCCGGCTCAAAAACTCCGCGCGGTCCGTGGAACACCTATGTGCCGCGGCTTGATTAGTTGCCTCCTAGATGGGGTCCTAGTAGAGAGCGACGCAGGATCGCGCTGCATCGCCAACGCATCATCGGCGATGCATCGTCGATGCATCGCCAACGTCGACGACGCGTCGGCGACGTCGGCGACGTCGGCGTGGAGAAGATCGGGCTCCGCCTTGAGCCGCATCGTTGATGCATCGGCGATGCGGCGCGATCCTCCGACCCAAACTACTCCGACCCCACCTGGGAGGCCTAGATTGGATTGAGCGGCATCAAGAACAAGCAGCGGTCTCCAAGCCGTCTCTCCGTGCCGTCTTGTCCTGACACTTCCAAAATGGGGGCCCCGAGACTTGGGGCCCTGTGGCGAGGCGGCCTTTCACGGTGCCGGGTTACTCGGCGGCGAGCGAGGAGGGAGATGAGGAGAAGGCCTTCTCAGAAGGCGGCGAAACTTCTCAGAAGGCCTCCGGCCTTCTGAAAGGTCTTGTCTTCGGGGAAGAATTCAAACAACTTCTCAAAAGTCCGGGAAACTTCCGAGCCTTCCTGAGAAGGCCTTCTCCGTGTCGCTTCCGCCCCCGGGCTCGCCGCTGACTCACCCCTGAGGCCGCTTCCTAGTCTCAGGGCACCACCACTCAGGGCCCCACCCTCAAACCACAGATTTCCTCCCAGGACGGAAACGGGTCCTGAGGGAAACGGGTCGTAGATTCGGGGGAACGTAAGATTCGAGTACGCCGAACTCGGGTGCTCCTACGCTTTTTGACGAGTCCGCCCTGGATTTTGACGGTCCACTTTTCGTGGGACGTCTGCAGCGGGAACTCGCGTCAAAATTCAGTGGGTCTCATCATTTTCCCGACGGCCCCGTCAGGCCAACCCGACTCCCCCGAACCCGAGTCTTAAGTCTCCCCGATCGATCCCCGGTGGAGGGGGGGCGTCCCCCGTCTTCGGCCCGAGGGCCCGTGAAGGGCCTCGAGATCTCCGAATCCGGCGAGCAGGTTGGGAGCCCTCCCTCAGGACCCAGCTCCTTGAGGGTGAGCTTTCTTCCCCCCCCAGCCACACGCAGGAGCGACCCTAGGCAAAAGGGTGACCTGTGGGTGCACGACTTTGTGGGGGGGGGGCGCGGGGGGGCCGAACCCGATCGCGGAAGCCGCTGCTGTCTCATCGCATTCAGCCGTCTCTGGACCCCAATGCGCTTGGGCGCGAATTAATGGGGGGCGGCAAATGGAGGGGGGAAGAAAGGTGCCCTTTTCTGGCCCTACAGGCCCCCTTCTGGGCCCTTCAGGGCCCCTTTAAGGGCCCTGAAAAGCCCTTTTTCGGCAGCCCTCGATGCCCCCCATTTGTCGCTCCCCTACCGCGCGACCTCCAAGTGCCCGCACCCACCGTCACTCTGGCGAAACGTCACTCCCACGTGCAGCCGACCCCATCTCCCCAAGCAGCGCCCGGCAGGCGCCATCGCTCACCGCGCAGCGCCGCAGCAGCGCCAGCGCCGCGGCGCCGTCCCCGGCGCGCAGGGCATCCACCGCGCCCGCGTGATCGGCACTCGGCTCCTGACGGAACAACAGAGTTTACCGGGCGAAGAGCGGTACAACATATGCTTTTTCGCCGACGTGGACGCCCCTACGTGGTACCGTAAGGGTATAAACGTTCAATCGCCCAGGGGTGCAGGCGTCCACGACTGCGGGAAAGCATATGTCATACCGTTCTTCGCCCCCGGGGGAATACCAATCCCGCAACTCCACGGGCCGCTCCAGGGGCGCGCTGAAGCCAGAACTTCCAGGCGAGCCAAGCCGCGGTGCTGAGGGAAACCCAGCGGCATCAGCATGTTTTCCTCCTCGGAGCTCCGCGGGCGCGCCGCTCCCCGCCGCGCCCGCGCCGGCCGCCCCCTCGCCGGCCGCACCTTCGCCGCCGAGCAGCGCTGCGTCCGCCACGCCGAGCAGCAGCCACCCCGCGGCGCGGCGGGGCAGCGCAGGCAGCAGCAGCAGCGCCGCCGCCCGCCGCCGCCCGCCGCGCATGGCGCGGGCGCGCGCCCTACGCGCCGCGCGCAGGGCGCGCAGCGCGCAGGGCGCTGGCCAGCCAGCACCGCCCGCCGCCGCGGGGGCAGGCGCAGGCGCAACCGGCGCGCTGGGCGCGCGCCGCGCGGGGCGGCGGGCGGCCGCGCGCTCGGCGGGGCCGAGAGCGGCTCGGTCGGGGGGGCGGAGGGGCACGCGTGCGGGGCTACGGTGCACGCCCCTGGCTCGGAAGAAGGCATCCATGAGAGCGTTGTTTTTTGTTTCCTCTGGCGGGTAACGACGCTTGCTACCGGCCCCCCCCCCCTCTGGGCACCGCTAACGATCGTACGTTTTTGGGGGTGGAGGGAGGACCCCCTCCTCTCGGCAGGTATGGCGCTGTGCTCACAGGACTGGCGTGGTGCTGAAAAGCATGTGTGGTGCTCACAAACGTGTTGTGGCGTTCGCAGGTTCCCGAACTGTTGCGGCGCCGAATTCACAGGCATGGCGTGGTGCTGAAAGGCATGTTCCGGTGCTCGCCAGCCTGTTGTGGCGCCTGCAGGCCATTGCAGTGCGCAGACTAGTGTGGTTTACGTCTACATCCCTATGTTATCTTCCCTGCTCTTCCTACTGGTGGAACTCTGGAAGCAATGCTGCTAGGGGGTTTCGCACCCATGACTGGTTAGAGCAACGGTAATCCCGCGTGTGTTACCAGTGGCGCTGACGAAGGCGAGGCGACGTCGAACGATGACATGAGTGCAGTTGCTGTATGGCAAAACATAATCCTACCTCCTCCCGCCTGCTCCACCGCCGACTAATATCCTTCCACTTCTTCATCGTCCTCTGCCCCTCCTCTTCATCCTCTCCTTCCTCTTCCCCTCTGAATTGCGTCGTGGGTTATTGGAGTAATATAAGTGGCCGTTTGGGCCATATGGGGTTATCCGCACAGCGCCCTTGCCCCTTCGTCTCGTCCTCCCCCTCGCTCCTCCTCGTTTTCCTCGTAGGTGTTCGCTCGCATTTGCGGGCCGAATTTCGTGACATGTTCGTTG